CTTCCATCTCCTGAATTATTCAGTACCTCTCACGCACCCCAAGGATGCTCTTGAAATTGAAGAGTTCCTATTTTCCTTTAACTCCACCTAAGGAGAAGCTCACCAGTGGCAATAGTTAGGGATGCCTGGAAAGAGCCTCCTGAAAAGCAGAGGGCCTAGAGAGCAACAATACTCTCACTATTACAGTGACCAGCAAAGGGGAAAGAAATGCCAGATACTTATCCCACTGAAACGTACTTCAAATGTTTCTCCAGTCCCTGTCCAACATCCCAAGTCAGGTAGGACAAAGACCACGTTCTCTCTATTTCTTTTACCTGAACACTGCCCTATCATTGTTAGGAGTGCATTAGGGCACTGTGGAAGGAATAACCAAGGCCCTGTTTTAGCAAACTCTCTAAATAAGGGTCCTATCCACATCTTCTGACATCAGTGGGCTTTGCATCAGCCCTGCTTGCTTCATGCTCCTCAGCTGGGATGCACCTTTCCCATTAACATCAGTAGAACTTGACCACAGCTTTGAAGTTGAGCACAGGCTTAAATGTTTTGCATAGGGGCAGACTTAATTAAATATATACTTTCAGTTTATGCCCAGATTCATAAATGGTTTTCAGATACTTCGCCCAGTTCACTATGTATACTCCTGCCTTCATTTCTGTCATATATTTCTCTGTCTTTTGAAGGCACCATTTCTTATTTCCATAGTTTTAGGCTGAAGTGGGGATAATGATGGAAACATGGGCAAATTACAATTACACTTTTTAGACATTAAAAACATAACAACAGGTTATATTGTGTTTTCGAGTAAAAGTTTAAGGCTGGTATGCTGTAAATTATTCATCTGTAAAAGCCACTCTCAGTTAAGGAATTTTTCAGTAGTCTTTCAAAGTTAAACAGCTTACTGGAAGAAATATCCTGTCTGAACTGCAGCATGAGTCAGTAACACCTGCAGGATTTTGGGACTGCGCTTTCCAGGGGTTACTTTCATGTAAAACTTTTAGCAACTATTAAATTAACTCTTTTAATTTCACAGTGCATACAGTTGATGGAAAATGGCAGGCAGGGAGATGCAGCCTTTAAGGCATTAACCCCTTCACTCCTGAGGATATTTTTTATGTTTGAAAGGAATTTGATGATTTCAGTTTTCTTCTCTTTCTTAACTCTGTCTCCATTAGGTTTGCTTGCATGAATAAGGGGTTGCAGAGACTGGCCTTTATATTGTAATGTAATGTAATCACAGATTGATTCAGCTCTGCAATCAGTCACTCATCTATGATGATCATTTCAGGGTCCCACCAAGAGTTTCTGGAAGGCTCTGTGTTAGCTCTGCACCAATCATATAAACCGCTGAAAAAGTTCCTTATATATTACTGTGTACTAATTCATACATCCTGTTTTGGGGGCAGTGAGGAAGAATCATGAAGACTGCGTCTTCTGAACATTAATACAATAATCATGCATGCTATCCAAAACAAAAGCAATGCCCCCAAAACCTGTACACACAAAGCAAATCTGCTGTTTGCTAAAAAAAAAAAAAATAAAAATAAAAAGATGATTGGAAAAATAAGATTTAAAGAAGGGAAATGGTTTGTGATTTGGAATGTGCATGTGGGGAGAAAAGGGATATCCAAAGATCAGCATCCCTGAGAATAGCCCATTTACCAATGTCTAAACAGCTAATAACCGAGTGTAAAACTGTCTACTCAATCTAATAAAAATGTACTATTACATTATTTACTACAGTATAAACTTCAAAACATTAACATGAAAAAGGTAAATAGAAAACTGAATATTTACTGTGTCAAAGACTAACCTTGCTTTCCAAAGTTTGAGTCAAATATTGCCATTAATAATACTGACAAGAATGTTTCCCCTGACATGACTGGAATTAATCTGAGTTAAAGGGAGTATACAAAAGTGCTGAATTTGGCCTTTTGTCTCTTGCTTTGTGATATCCATCTCTACTGAGTCCCTTGTGCTCTGGACACCTGGAAGGAGCCCTGGACTCTAGTATTAGCTAATGGCTAGGACTCTCACTTCTGTGCATGTGGTGACAAAATTCATTTTATTTCTGGCAGGCAGTGGGTATACCTCCCCCTCTGGAACTGTCACTGCTATCTTCTCATTCAACAGCTCATATCTGGTACTTTCAACAAATGTTGCCTTCACTCTCTATAGCCTAAAATGATAAATACTTCACCTGGAGGCTGTATGTACCAACTCCTGCTAGCACTTCTTTCTCAAAAGGCAACATAACATTTCAGAAGTGGAAAATAAACATCCACAAGGAATTCTGAAGAGGGAAGGGCATGTGCAAGTGCAGCCATGCAGTGAATTAATCTTTAACCACAAAATGTCAGTGTCCTCTTAGAAGATAGAACAGCCATACAGTGAGGTATCAGCTAAACAACTACATATAAACCACACAAAGCGGTGGTAGACACTCCTCGTATCTGCACGATCGTTAATAAGATCTCTGCATGCCAGTGTGATAGGAGAGGAAGTATGCTTGATAGTAGTTTTTCTCTGCAGTGCAGTAATTTTCCATGATGTTAATGAGAATTTTGCTAACATGCTTTCCAGATACTTGCCAGCCAGCAATCTAGTGGCAGTGCAGTGCTACAGGCTGCACTGCTAATGACACCCACCTCAGACAGTGGTCCATGGCCCCCAGGCCCCATGATGCAGATGGTTCTCATCCTTTCTGCAGGTGGCATTCCCCTCTAGAGCTGACTGACTGCATTCAGGCTTCAGGGCACTCCACCTGGAAGTGTTCAGAAGGATAATGTCATTCACAGTAATTTTGTCAAGGTCTAAAACGCAGGACACGAGTGCTCTATAATGCACCCTGCACTCGTAATGCTTCACTGTCCACAGATCAGAGAATCCTTTGCAGTGGTACTAGCTCTCCTCCAGCTCAAATATCTAGATGTTTTTCCCCTGGAAATCTGAATATGGTCCAGAGATGGTGCAGTCCTAGGTGGTGTCCTGCAACGCATTCAGTGGACAGTCAGGGTATGCAGGTCCTAGAATTTCTCTATTTGCAACCTAGATGAGGCAGTGTGGTTGCAACACTGATAACTTGATCTTCCCACATCAATGCCCACAGTCCAGTCACTTTTACACTCCACATCTGCCTTCTGTAGGAAACCTCTTCTCTACCACATCTGAGAATAATTTTGTCCTTTTTACGGTGGAAAAGAGGACTTGCTGCCTTGTTCCTTGCTATTCAATCTGTGTTATTAACTTCACTGAAAGTTAGATGTCTTGTTAACAGGAATTAGAAAGATGATGATATAGTTTTCTCAGAATATAATATAATTTTCTGGCCAGCTTAGTAGCACTTTTTAGGCCAGAGAATCTAGACTGGCATTTAACCCGGAAGGCCAAACATTCCCTGCAAGGCAGGTTGTTTTTCATGTCTAGAACAGGCCAAAAATGTCTTTCTGAAGACTACTACAATCACAGTTATTTCTTATAAGAACTCACTAAAGCAACTGGAAGCTGAATTTCATACCACTAGTCAGCAGTATACCTCCTGCAACGAGAAGATCTGCTTTAAAGCAGGGCCAAATATGACCTATAATTACTAAGGCCAGAAGAGGACTTGACTCCCTTTTGTGACCAGTATCACTGACTATTCACATGAATTACTGCTTCTCAGTAAGGGAGGTGAAAGACTTACAATCCCTTCTCATTCCCAAAGCAAACAGGAAGCTTTTCATATCCAGCAAAAAGTTTCAACCATATTTTCATTATGAGTAATTCTACATGTTTTTCCTCAAAATGCAGACTATGAATAATTCTTAAACACTGGAACATTTTTCAGACGAACCCATTTTATTGTAGTAAGGCCAGACTTTGAAACTCTAAGTAGCATTTTATTGCACATGTATTTCCACTGACCCTAGGGGACTACTCTTAGCATATGTTATCATTTGGCACAGGTAAATCAATATCCCATAAATTGGCCATAAATTGCAGTAATAGCTCTGATTTGCAGTGATAGTTCAGAAGTGAACTGCATAGGGAAGTTCATCCAGTTTCAGAAACTGAAGCAAGATATAAAAGTATCAAAAAACTAAGGCTCCTTCTTGTTACCTTTAAAAAAGGTCCGGAATTTGGAAAACTTTCAATAATTTCCCATTACTTCTCTAGATGGCTCATAATCAGATCCAAGAATAAAGAGAAAAAAATCAAGCCAGTACTTAACTTGAAGTAGTTTTTAACTACACATTGTTCTCCTGAACGCATTCAACAGATCTCTTCTTGTTAAAATTATAGCAAATTGGAACAGTAGTTCCCTTTTGAATCAGCATTCATTTCTCTCCCCTTCCCCCCTGAAGACTGTTACATTTTGAAGCCACAAATGATTATTTATTTATTCCCCTATAAAATGCATACATAGTCCCAAAAGCCAGAATATAACATTCTTCAGTACACACAAATGCAGTACTCGTTATTACAAATTATTAGATCACTTAATCTTCTTTGCCACTTCCTTCTTTGAAAAAAATATTCACAGTCCCCCAATACCAGCTTAACATGTAAAACAATAAAAATAATAGTAATAATAATGATATATTTGCTTGGTCTTTTATGGCACAGAAAACAAACGCCTGCTGATTGTTTTGCAGGGATAATACACATTGCAACCTGATACATGGTTGAGTCAGTTCCTTACTCTGAGGATGCTCAGGCTGCTTTGAGTGTTTCCCTTCAAGATGAAATAAGACTCTCTCAGACCTTTCAGTCAAAAGGTCTCTACATCGAGAGCATGGCCATTTCACTGGGCTTGCTCCCCTTGTGCCCAGAAGCACACACTGCCTGGACAATGCAGCAGCAACCTCCAGGCTGATGTACAATCCCGCCCAGGATGGTCTCCTTGCCCTTGCTTTGTACCTTGCTTTATCCTATTTCTCATACCCAGCCGTTTCTCCAAGACCTGTTTGTTCACCTGACTCTTCTCATTAGTCCCGTCTTCTATGTCAAGGGCTCTTTTTCTTCCTTTACAGTCGATGAGAGTAAGTGTCTGATTACAAAGGGACTCCTAGCAAGAACAGACAAAAGCAAAGGCATGTTCTGCATTCCCAGTCATTCAAATCATGATACGAGTAACATAAAATACAAATTCTTCTTATTCTCCTGGAAAGAGATTACTGAGAGAGGTGATGTAAAAGGAATATGGGCTGTTCACATCATCAGAAGTCCTTACAATGGTAATGAAATCAAATTAATCTCCTAAGGCCTCCTAGAGTAAAATCATTTTATTTATTTAGAGTAGCAGTCAACTGGAGTTGAATCAGGTGAGCTCTGAAGACTTCAGATTTCAGCTCTGTACACTGACTGAAAGTAACAAATTCCTGATAGACATAGATGGTATGTGCTAGGCTGTTTTCCCAATCTGGACGTCTGCAACTTCCTTGCATGCAAGGAAAGAATGTTCAAATTGAGAAGAAATTGCGCATTTTCATATCTCAAGAAACTCTACCGCAAATGATATGGTGAAGCTGGAACGTGACACACTTAAAACCCAATTGATTCTTGAGTGTCTTTGGAAAAAAATGACAGGCGGAAATAGAAAATTCTGATCTTTCCTCTACTTATAAAAGAGCTGTAGAGCCCTGTGGTCTTGTCAGTGTTAACACTGAATATAACTAGATCAGATATTCATAGAGTTTGTTATTACTTAATTAGGTCGTAGCAACAGGGGTACACCCATAGACAACATCCATGGGCCAGCAGTAATCATTGTCTTATTTCTCATTGGACCTGGGGGAACCAAGGTAAAGACTGATACCTAATTGGGTGACACAAGTCTAAAGTTTTTTACAGTATGGGAAATGCAGACAGCTCTTCTGTGTCTTTGGATTTAAATTCTGGGATGAGACCCTGTGAAGAGCAATGTTAATGTTTGTGACATTTTTCAGAATATATTTAGAACAGACCTTTAATTAGTCAGCCACTGTGTCTTTATTTTACTATCAGACAGAGTAAACTTAAGCATTTTAGCACAGTCTATTTTCTGTCACTTGTGCTGCAGAATTACATATGAAAAATAGGTAAATCAATTTTGGAAGCCAGAAGCTGAAACACTGGGTTAGTCTAATCAAACCAGGAACAAGGTAGATGGCTTGATCCTCCTCAGGAAGCAGTTGTGATATAGCTTCTCTTTCTACTGCCTTTTTTGAGTAAAGGCAAAAACAACTTGTCAGATAGGCTGAAATTTCTTACTCATTCTTCCACTCCCACTCTTCCAATACCTGTTAGTGCATTGAACAATTATGCAGAGAATGTAACTCATGCTATGTAACATATGTTGGGAACATAAACTAAAAGAATCTTACTAGCTCTCTCTATTAGCTAAAATAAGCAGGAATAAAATAGCAAGTTGAGTTCTAGGTGTGGGGCATTACACACCCCGCTGAGATGAACAGAGAAAATTCACGCTTCTTTTGAATGCTGTCAGAGTGTAGGCTGGGGAGGATAATACAGCACTAGGTTACAAAAAATACAGGTACTGTGTAACCAGAAAAGCTGGAAACCTAAGGAAAAATACAAAAGCTTAAATTCTGAAGCTAAATTTTGCAACAGGGGTTGATTCTCATGTCACTGGGTAGCTGAAGAATCCCAGAAGTTAGGTAGTCTTGCATAGAGCAAGGTCTTTGAAAACTTCCCACATAAATTTGCACTAAACAGAGAGACTTTGGCCATTGGTCTGTATGAGGACCACTTATAGAGATGGTATCGCTCCTTGTCCCATTTGTCATCTCAGTCTGAGTCACACTCAGATCTACAGGTGCCACAAACTTCCCTTTGTGTTGAAAGACAACAGGAAGAAAGAATTAAAAGCTGAGCCTGGGAAGCTGTGGAATAAGACTTTCCTGGAGACTGCATAGGAGCTGGAAAGGGAACCTTGAAAACTGTAAGATTCGAAGAACAGATGTTTTGGTGCCTGTGTTCATACTAGGAAATTGAAACAACTAAGTCACACAGCACAATGCATAGGCTCACTGTCTTAAACTCTAAAATCCAACACAAACAGTAAAAGTTCTTTGCAAGAGTTAAGCCTGTATGTACTAATTTCTAGTTAGTAACAGTAAAAATCAAGTGCCACCCCTCATTTATGTGCAATTGCTCCAGCATCTCCTCTCCCAGGAGTAAGCAAAAGGAAGTAATTTGGCACACTGGGCAGGACTGGCACCCCTGCCAAACCCGCTGAACCACAAAATGACTTCCCCCAGGGATTCTCAGGTATTTTTAAATCATCTAAATTAAATTGACAACACCAGAAGCAGAATTCAGGAACTTGCCTGCAAAAAGCCATATAGTGTCTAGTCTTGCAGTCATCTACCAGGATCTCAGAAATGGCTTTTTCAGAAAATGAGTAAGAGTTAGATGAGGATGAATTTGAGAAAGCATGAATTTTTCCTGGCTAGGAAATCTAAAACTTAATTAGACGGTAGCCTACCACTGGTTTATTGTTGCAAGCAAACAAGGTTCTGGAGTCTGTATTCCCTGTTGCATAGAAAAATGTATTGACAGGTCTGCAGAGAAGAGACAAGCAAGGATACCTCTTTTGTTACAGCAAGGATACCTCTTTTGTTACAGCAGCAAGTTCCTGCATACTCATTAGGTCCTTCATGAAAGGGCTTGACTAAAATTCTACTCGATAAATGTATTCTTAGAAGTGTCCTTAGGGGTTTATCTCATCATCATTAGCAGTTCAACCATTTTTAATATCAATTTAGGGGACAG